CTTGGCTTCATTTGCATTGAATTCTCTTTGTGATTTACTTCCTGGTAATTTTCAATAAAGACACAGAGAAGCTTGGCTTGGGGTCTTTAGTCGAGAACTGCTGGCCCCCTGTTTTACGCTCTCTGCTCTATCACATTCCTGGCTGTTTGTCTCATTATTAATAATTATAAAATTATTCCATTCTTGGGGACCCTCGGTCTGCAACAACTGGTCTCACAGGCTTTCTGAAGCCACTGACTGACTTGTCCACGTGGTAGGGGGGACAATATCCTAATTGGGTGTGAGGAGGATAAGATACCATCTTCTTACTGATTTAGCTAATACCATGTTTGGCAACCATGGCTACCTCACCATGAGTACTGGACCTACTGTCCACATGCATTTTTCTGTTCCCATACAAAGTAGAGCATCAATCTGAACACTTGCACTCTAACACTTTCACCAATCCAGAGACGTAAAAGTCAACTTGACACTAGCAAACAGGACCTGGAGAGTCATTAATTTAAAAACGTTTATGTACAGAACATGAAAAGGAGCATCAATTACAAATCTAAAAATGTACAAAAGCACATTTTCTCAGTCATCTATTATGAACTTCTGGGAAGACTAATGGCTTTTTAAAGACTTTAATTATTTTGTGTGTGTGTATGTTACAGGAGGAGATTGTCCTTCTCGAGCAGAGCATCTGGTGGATTGGAACCTTACGCATCTAGGATTGCAGTGCAGCTTCTTGCCACTAGTAACCACAGCTCCCGAGGACTAATGGTTTTTTAAGAAAAAGTCTAATTTGGAACTCAAAAAACAATAAACGATGACACTAGATTCAGACACTGAAATGTAAGTATATTCCGTATCTTTCTTAATCCCCATGTAGAAAGATCATGTGGGAGGCTGGGCTCTATGAGGAGGAATGTGGCATCTGGATTGGAGGAAGACTCACCAACAGCTTGTGTTATGAAGATGACACAAACTTGCTTGCTGACACAGAGGAGGACATAAAGAAGTTGCTGCAGATCTTTAATGAAGGCAGCCTTTAAAATGGATGGAAGCTCAACATCAAGAAAAAAAAGATTCTCAAAAACATTAAAAAAAAGAAAAACAAAAGATTCTCACCACTGGGTCAATTTGCAGCATCAGGGCAGAGAAGAGTTTGAAATTATTGACAGCTTCAGTTTGCTTGGTACACAACCAACATTCTTAGTACCAGCAGCCAGGAATTCAAAAGATGAACTGCATGGGGAAAATCTGCTGTCAGGGACTTCTCCAGAGTACAGAAGAGCAACAGTGTCACTCTGGACACTAAGGTGCGCCGGAATCAGGCCAAGGTCTTTGGAATTTCTTGCTGTGCATCAGAAAGATGGAAAATAATTAGGGTTTTATAGAAAGGGAATTGGTGCCTTAGAGCTGTGATGCTGGAGAAGAGTACTGAATAATCCATGGACTGTTAGGAGAACAAGGAGGTTACTCTGCGATAGGGTAAAACCAGGCTACTCCTTGGAGGCGAGGATTCTGAAGCTTCGGCTGACCTACTGTGAGCATGCTGCAAGGAAGGACCAGTCCTTGGAGAGGGACATGATGCACGGAAGGGTGGAGGGACAGTGCAAGAGAGGAAGACCCTCTATGAGATGGACTGACTCAGTGACTGGGGGGATGAGGGTCGGTGAGTCAGAGACACTGAAGTTGGCTCAGGACAGAGCAGAGTTCAGAGCTGTTCTACACAGGATCACATATCTGAGAGCACATATCAACATCTTCCAAGATTCCATTTGTCCTCACCAGTGTGATTTCTAAGATGCTGAGGACAGAGGATTGATCCAGAGACGAAAGTATAGCGATCGCTTAACTGATACCATCACGTGAAAAGAGACTTTATCACTGGGTTCACATAATGCCATTCTCTCCAGATAAGGAAGGTCTTTATCACATTAACAATTTCATGATACTTGCAATGGATGATACAATCTTACTATAAAACATAGGTAACCAAGTTTCTAGAAAACTAGTGACCTACTTAGCAAGAAGTTATGCTGCCAATAAAAACACGTTTTGAATGCATTCATTCAAGAAGGATGAGTAATAATCCAGGCGCTCCAAGGGAGGAGGGGCAATCACCTCCCGTGCGAACTGACTGCCTCTGAAAACCTGCCAAAGGGTCAGCTAGCAGTCCGTTCTAACTCTAGGGTACATGACAAATACAAGCCCTTGTCACCTAGTAAAAAAAGAAAAAAAAAAAATAGGTGACTTTCCAGGGGGTGAGCTTTTTGGTAAGAGGTGCATAGACTGAACTACAGACTTCAAGAAGCTACATTGCTTCCTGTCCGCAGGTCAAGCAGGCTCTTAAGGACCCTAAGAGTGACAGCTCTGAACCCTCCTCTGTCCTGAGCGAATCTCACTGTCTCAGACACATCTACCTCCATCACCCCGGACTCTGAGTGAATCCATCTTGCCCAGGGTCTTCCTCTCCAGCGCTGTCCCTCCACACTTTCAAGCGTAATATCCTTCTCGAAAGACTGTTTCTTCCTGGCTACATGCACAGAGGATGTGAGAAGAGCCTCAAAATCCTTGCCTCAAAGGACCACCTTAGTTTCACCAACTGCTGGACAGACCTGTTAGAGTCTTGTACGTCCACAGTTATGTTCAGTACTCTTCTGAAGAAACACAACTCAAAGCTTTGCATGATTCTTCTGCCATCCTTGGTCAGTGTCCAGCTCTCAGATGCTTGGCAAGGAAATAAGCAAAGCACACTTAAGTACACAATACCCTGACCTGTGCACAGAAAGGGATACACGATCAACACAGGTACTCAAGTGCCCTGAAACGATTGCTTCTATGAACAGGGGACTTCAGGGATGCCAAGGAGGCAGGTATTGGTGGAAATCACAGGTTGAATGCAAGATCTTGTAATCAGCACACCTGCACTCAGGACAGGAGCCTGCATGTCACCTCCCAGTGGCTTCACTCAAATGAAGAAGCAGGAATTCATGTGGATGGGATTTGCAGCCAGAGCCAGGCGTTGAGGACACAGAGGTGAGGTCACGAGCCCCATGGCATACATGGAGGATTAGGGGTGGTGTTGAAATAAATTCCTCATCTGCTGACACCACCTGAATTTTGCTTCTTGGTTCTCTGACAAGTTATATAATTTTATAAGTTAATCAGCGATATTCTTGGAGGGAGCACTGCTGGTGATGGGCTAGC